AGTCTGCCTGTTCTGTTCCCCACTGTCTCTGGTGAATCCTTTCACCCCCCCACACCTCTGGCCTGTACCCCAGTTTTGTATGCATAAATAAATCTTAAAAAAAGAGAACCTGTGCTGACAGTCCCAGGTATTATGCCTTCTGCTCAGCCTCAGTGTTCAAGCCCCCATTTCTGCCTGATCCAATGCTCCCCTGACAAGGAGGACCAATGGGGAATCTTGCTGGGACTCCCCATTGGCCTTGCTGAGACTTCCGAGAGCCACAATGTAATCTGAGATTGCCCACCCAACTCCTTTCCGTCTCTCCTTTCATAGGTGTCTGACTCGTCCCTTACTATTCTTTTTTCCCCTCCCCCCCACCATCCTTAGCCCTCTCAAACGTTTTCCCTATAAATCTCCTGCAGGTCTAATTCTGTCTTGGCATCTGCCTCTCAGAAGACCTGAACTGAAAGTCTGGCATGTTCACGATCTGGGTCCAGTTCCACTAGAAACTGGATTCTCAGATGGCAAGCCTGGGAAATTTTATAATGGCTGGAGAGGATTGTGGACAGAATCACTGTGGAGGGCTGGAGAGGGCACAAAGCCAGAGAACACGAACACAACACTGGAGGGTAAATGATTGTCAGGCTTTTCTGCCCTCCCGCCATCAGGATAGATGATGGATCCTTGCGGTCCTGAATGCATGCCCGATGGCGGGCACCTGGAGTGGGGTGTGGGCATGTGTAGATGGGGAGACCTGGGCTGAGGCGGGGCTTATAAGGGCGGCGGCAGAGAAGCAGAGAGGACCAGAAGGAGAAGCGAGAGAGCAGAAAGAGAAGCAGAAGAGAGAGAACAAGACCATGAGAGAACGCCGGCGAGCTCAGAAAGAGCGAAGATTCACCAGGGCTAGGCGGACTGCCAGTCTCTCGGCCCCCCGGCACCCCTGCCTGCTGTGTACCTGGTAAAATGCCAATAAAGGCCTGAAAAGCCACCGAGAGCTCCAGGACTCCTCCTTTACCCCTCTGCACAGGAATCAGAGATGCTGCCCTGTGCCTTCATGCCCCTACAAACACCTCTCAGCAAATGAAATGAGCTGGGTGATTTAGGGAGCAGGTTCACTTATGGAGGAGCAAACATTAGAGGGAGCTGAGTTTTAATCCCAACCCCTTTGGACAAGTCACTTAAGCTTAATTTCCTTATCTATAAAATGGGAATAATTTTACTTACCTTGCTGAGTGGTTGTAAGAACAAAGAGGATGGTGTGGGCAAAGTGTTTAGCAGGCTGTCAGCTGGCAAAGGGGCCCGCAATCTAGAGGTGTTGCTGTTTAATAAATTCTTGCTTGAAGCGGGCCTGGAGGGAGGTGTCAGCTGCTCCACCAGGCGACGTCATCTCCTCCCACAGAGGTCCTGTGTGGTGGAATCCTCTTGGAGGAAGGGGACAGAGGTGGGGGGCGGGCTTTGGAATGTAAGGTGAAGTAGTTTGGGGCAGTAGCTCCAGCAGGATGAAAAAATGGACCAGAATTGTTGCTTGGAGAGGAAGTCAGGGCCTAGACCTGGAAGGCCAGGCCTCTGGGGCCTCCTTTCTTTCGTCCATCACTGTAGGGTGAATGAAGTTGGTCAGGCTTTCACACCATTGGCCTCTGCGGCTATCACCTGCGGCCTTGATCTTGTTAAGTGGAGGGCGTGTGGGGGTGTGGCACGCATGCCTGACTGTGGACACCTGAGCCTGGGTGTGTGCGCATGGGCAAGTGTGCCCACCTGCGCCTAGAGGGCGGGGCTAGAAGGCGGCGTTACTCAGACAACGATGGTGGAACAGCTACAGAAGAGACCAGGAGAGAATCCAGAGAAAGCTCTGAGGAAAGAGCGTATAGACATTCCACGGGACTCAACTTGCCGCCTCCCTGTTGGCTTGTTTTCCCTGCTTGCCATTAAAACCTGTGAAAATGATGCCAAGGGCTCTAAAATTCTCTTTCAAGTTGCTAGATACAACGGTGAACCTACCCGGACTGGGATGGTTGCAAAACAATCACCTCAGCTGGTCAGAGAAGCTAGATAACTGCCAGCACAACCCAGGAAAATTGGGCTGTGTGGGTGGAGTGAGTTCTAAAGGGGACCTTTGTTTTCAAGGGTACCTGGCAGTGCTGTAGGGCTGGGCTCTGTGCAGATGATAGCAGACCTGCTGGAAAGGGGCAGTTCCAAGAAGACAGCCCAGGGGTCCAGCCCTGAGAAAGCCCCTACCTGCTCCCGGTCAACCCAGAGCTTGACACCGGCCCCCTACTCTGGCCTATATAAGATGGGCACCACTAGGGCCAACTGGACCCCCACAACACTGCCACCTCTTGACAGATTCCCTGAAGTCCACTTTCCTAAAAGGAAGTTGTAGATGACAATTGAAGTTCCTCAGGGGCTGATTCTAGGGGGGGAAGTAGGCGGGGCAGTTTGTCTCAGCAGCCCCAGGCCCCTTCCCTCAAGCCCTCCCCTCCACACCACAGGTGTCCAGTTCTGGCTGTCAGGAAGCCTGTGGTCTGGCATGCTTTTCTGCCTGGGAGGAGAGTAGCCAATAAACTAACCACATCCAGGACTTTATTTGTCTCCCAAGCCTCTGGGGCAGCTCAGCTGGGCTGAATAAGAGTCTTTGCAAGACAAGGAATGAGAGAGCAGAAAAGGGAGAATGTGTGCAGATGCCCTTAAATACTGCAACCCACCCGCCCTGCGTCTTCCTTGGCCTTCCTATTCCCTCTTCTCGCCATCCCCACTCGCCACTTTCTCTCTCTCTGACACCTCTCACCGCCACAGCTTGGGAGGCACAGATCCTGGTGGGACTTTGGGCAGAATGCTTCCTCTCTGCCAGTTTTCGTGTCTGTAAAACGGAGTAATACCTATGGCTGTTGTGGTTTAAATGAGATGAGGCAAATTCGACAGTTGGGCCCGACATTCTCTGGGGTCCACATTATTGAAGCTTTGTGAGAGGGACGGTTGTAGCTGCTACAGGTCTGGAGCAGCAGTTCCCAACCAAGGAGGAAGCAAGAAGTAGAGAGGGGATGGGGGCTCCTGAGAGATTGGAAACTCAGAGTCTAAAATTGCAGAGGGGGGCCTCCCCGGTGGCGCAGTGGTTGAGCGCTGGGTTGCGAGGCTGCCCGCAGCCTCTGCAGCACCGGTTCGATCCCCGGCTGCTCCCCGGCCACCGGAGGAGGCTCCTGCATGGCACACAGACCTCTCCTGCCGCCCACTACTCCCCTCAGCAGTGTACCTCGGTCCCTCTGCCTGCTCTGCTCCCCACTCTGGCTCTGGTGAATTCTCTCACCCTCCAGCGCTTCTGACTGTACCCAGTGCTTGTATAAATAAATAAATCTTTAAAAATAAATAAATAAAATAAAATAAAATAAAATTGTAGAGGAAGCAAACCCACAGGTCAAAGAGGCTCAGCCCAGAGGCAGCTCCTGTCTCCCTCACCAGAAGGACAAAAGTGTCTGGGCTTCTCAGCTCTCGCATAGGCCTCTGAGGGATCAGGGTTCTATTAGCATCTCAAAGAACATCCATTGAGCCAGGTGCTGGGATGAGCCCTTTTACTCATTTTGTCTTCATGATTCCTCACTCTATTGACATATAAGATAGGCATTATTATGCCCATGGGGCTCAGAGAGGTGGTCTGGCCACTGTGAAAACTAGGACTTAATTGGTCTGGTGACTAAGTGCAGGGCTTTCTGCCCTGCAGCAAGATGTACCCCTTGATTCTGTCAGGCTATCTGCAGGCCTACTGTGTGCCCTCCCCTCAGACTAGGTTCTGGAGATTGTAAGGGAATAAGACACACAATTTAGTCTCAGTGGGGGGAGTTCGACAAGTAACTGGGTGATTACAATAAAACACAGGAAATGCTATCTGGGGTGAAGTCCCAGAGCCAGGGGACCCTGAAGAAGGGTCAGAGGATCAGGTATGCCTCCTGGTGAGTCATGGCAGAGAACCATGCGTGCCCATAGAAGCCCCTTCTGCCAAATTTCTCCAATCAGACCAGTGACAAGATTAAGTATTAGTGGCCTCCCTGGTGGCACAAGGGGTTAAGCACTGCACTATGAAGCAATCCGCAGCCTCTGCAGCATGAGTTCGATCCCCAGGCCGGCCAAGGAGAAACCACAAGGCGAAGCAGATCTCTCCTGTCTCGCCCGCTGCTCCCCTCAGCAGTGTATTTCAGTCAGTCTGCCTGTTCTGTTCCCCGCTCTGTCTCTGGTGAATCCTCTCACCCCCGACATCTCTGACCTGTACCCCAGCTCTTGTATGCATAAATAAATAAATCTTTTTAAAAAAAAAGATTAAGTATTAGTGACAACTACACCACGCCGCCTCCTTCCCTCCCTTCCTTAGGGACCATCTCTCAACACAGCCTCCCATCCCTGGAGTACAGGGCCATTCCCACCGTGGGTAAGTGAAATGGGACTCATGGGGAAGAGCCCCTTCTGGTCTTGCGTCTCTCATGGGCACACCAGAACCAGCCTCCTGTTCTGTCCTCTGGTGAGCCTGGGATTTCTGAGAGCAGTGGGGGAGCAGGTCACACTGAGGTCTGTCCTCTACTGCTCCCACATTACCCACAATTTCCTCTGCCTCTAAGTGAGCAGGAGCCTGCTCTTCGCTCAAGCTCCTTGCCTTCCTTGTAATTCTCAAAGCCAGGAATAGCTTCCTCTGGCTCCTACGATGCCCGTTTTCACCTGGGGTCTTCTCAATCAACTATTCCTGCATAAGAGGAGCCAATGTTTTATACCTACTTCCTTCCTCAGGGAATAATCCCTTTGGTGCGCCCTAGACCTGGGGCCATTCCTAGTTGCCCTTTGGTGACATGTCAGAAGTTGAATCTGTCACCCAGTATGGCCTATGGGCAGCCCCCAAGGCTCCATGATATAGCAGTGGCCCACTGCACTGACCCAAGTTTATACCTTGTCTTACTTTCCTTGCCTGCAAGCTCCCTCTCCTGACCTGGGGAGATTGCTGGATGCACAGGCGCTCAGGAGAGAATCACAGAGATGCTGACTTTGTATACAAAACAGCTTTATTAAAAATTCAGCATTAGGAAAAAAAGACTTTGTAAAGGTTCTATCAAAAAGTACAAATTTTAAATAGATGTGCGTCAGAGCAGTGGCAGCCAGCTACAGCAGCCAGTCTCAACCTTGGGGTGGGGGGAGAGCAGGTTCCCAGAGGAACCCAGAAGAGGCTGGGTACAAGGATCTTTGGATGTCTGTTGGGCCAGGGCCTGCTGGAGCAACCAAGCAAGGGCCCCGACTCAGTTTTCCTTTCCTTGGAAAAACAGAAAAAATCTGATACGAACAGGAAAATCTGAGTCTTAAGCAGAAGGCACATCATTCCTAAGGCTCGACTGCCGACTCCAGCCCTGAGGCACATGACGTGTGAATGAATGGGATCAAAGATACACACACAACTTCACACCCTCTGTGCACCTGATTGGTGCCCCATCTGCATTTGGCCACAGGTTAAATTAATGGACCATGTAATCCCTGCTGCAGAAGACCTGGAGCCAGTCTTTAAAACAGATATGGCGCTTTATGGCCAACTGGTATCTGGCCCTGTCTGGGCAAGAAGGATCACGGTGCCCTCCCCAGTGGGGAGTACCAGGCCTCCTGTCCAGTCCTGTTCTCTGAGCCACTGTAAGCACCCACAAGGAACTTCTGAGGGCAGTGCCTTGATATCTGGAGAAGCCCCAGGCCCCAGAGCCAGAGTTTCTCTGAAGGGCAGGTGTTAGCACAAAAAGCTGGCCTTGTCAAAATGAGTCCCCAGCAGCTGCTGGTCCATACTCATGGTCACTGGTGACAGGCCTCCCTGGTGACATTAGGCAGTGGGTAGGCAAAGAGGGAGAAGTCCAGGATATACTTCGGCAGCACGTCCTGCAGCAGGGTCCGAGGGGTACTGCACAGGTGATAGTGTAGGTTTTCGGGACTTGCTGGCCGGTACCAAGCCTGGCGAGCGGGGAACCGCACCTGAGGTGGTGCCCGTACCCACTCGAGCACCTGGTTGGCATCAGCCTCCAGCCTCTCGTAGGAACCCACAAAGTCGTAGTGCACTGCACAAGGCTGGCACAGGTTGTACACTGGCATCCAGTGCTCGTTCATGCGCTCAGGGTCCTCGTCCACCAGGTATCTCAGGAACTCCGGGAAGGTGACATCGTCCCCTGCGGGGCTGGGACCCGCTCCAGCCCGGTACCTTCTGACGATCTCTGCCCCGTAGCGCTGCTGGTACTCTCGGATCTCGCCAAATTTGTTGCGGTAAGCAGAGAGCAGGCGTTCCAAAGGATCCCTCACGAACAGGAACTTGAAGTAGTGCTGCAGGCGGTAGCGAATCTCCTCCGGCCGCAGATCGGCCAGGAACACCAGGTCACTGCGGTGGTCCATCTTGAGACGCACGTCCACGCTGTCCAGCACTCCCGCCAGCACCTTCAGCACCCGCTTCCAGTTGGAGCAGGCCACCTTGGGCACGTAGCAGTAGAGGAAGCGGTAGCGGTCGCTCACGAGGATGTGGCGCAGCAGGGTGCGCCGCTGCCCCACCGGCAAGTCCCAGGGGTCCCGGGGCATCCCCGGCTGCCCGCACACCGCCCGGAGGGTCCGGTTCCGGACGTCCTGCCTCACCTGCACGTCCGCGTCCCCGGCATCCAGGGGCAGTCCCCCAGGCCTGGGGGCGGGCCCACGCCAGGCTGCGCCCTCGCGGTGGGGAGGGTGCAGGGGCAGCGGCTTCATCTCCGCCAGGATGCCCCGCTCGATCATGAGCAGCAGCCCGCTGGAGGCCACGATGACCGCGAACATCAGCATGGACGGCAGCAGCAGGGGCGGCCCCCCCAGCCCGGCCCGGGCCCTGCCCAGGGGAGCCCGCCTCAGCGCCCGGCCCAGGGACTCGGCGCCATTTGGGGCCGCCAGCGGGGTCAGCGGGCGGGGCAACATGGTGCTCCCGAGCGGGGGCCTCCGCGGCCCGGAGATCCGAGGGCGGCCTAGGCAGCCGGCGCGGGCGGGGGGGCGGGCGCCAAAGGTTCGGGCCCGCGGAGCCACGAGGCCGTCGGAGACGAGCGCGCAGGCCGGCGGCCCCGGCTCCCGAGGGGTGGTCGGCTCCGGGCCGCGGAGGGAGCGGGCGGCGGGCGGGCGCGGCGAGGGACGGGGCCGGATGTCCCGCCCGGCCGCTCTCCGCCCCAGGCCCCGCCGCGGCACAGCACGGGGGCGGGCCCCGGCCAGGGGCGGGGAGAGGGGCGGGCGCCCCAGCAGGGACGGTGCCGGGGAGCGCGCCTTGCGGACCCCCACCCGGGAGAGGGCGCCTGAGCCGGGGCCGTGCGGGTCCTCTGGGCTGCAGGGACAAAAGCTGCTGAGGCCCCGAAGTCAGAAAAGACCCAGGCCGCGGGCCCCCTCTTGCATGCAGCATGTGCCTTCGGGAAGCCGCACAGAGTGAACCCGAAAACACCCTGGCGCCCACCGTGGCAGGCGCCAGAAGCAGAAGGCCGAGCACATCCCCCTCCATCCCAGAGCGCTCAGCACGCATCAACTTTCTTCAGGAAGCCAGGGTTTCTCGCTGGAAGCAGAACCCAGTGTGCCCCACCCCCGTCTGTCCTGGCCGCTCCAGTAAAGAGGAACAAGACTGTCAGGTGCTGACCAATGGCTCATCTCCTGGGTGACCCTTAGATGGGACAGTCCCAGCAGATTACAGCGCTGGCCCACAGCGTAATGCAGAACGATCGAAATGAACTCTTGCCTCCTCTGCCTCCCTCCCCCAGACCTGACCACATGGGATGACTGGACCAGTGACAAGTTGGTGCCTCATGACCACCGGTGTGGTCGGCACATACCTTGAAGGGTGAGGACCCAGGGGCAGACCTGGGGCCGGCTTGCCTGGCGCTTCATGACACCCGTTTGGCCGGGCAGGCAGGAGGCGGGTATGGGTATGCTGTGGATGTCAGTGGTCAGCCTCTACCCAGCTGGGCTGGGCACCACGCTAGGCACTCAGAGTTCACCTGATATGTTGGCAGCCAGAGAGGCTCTAAGCAGAGTAGTGATGTGATCAGAGGCCACCTTTGATGCAGATGCCCACTCAGTGTTTTGCTTTCTTCTGTCCCATCCTCTTTAGAAGTAGATACTACCTGAATTCCCACTGCCAAGGTGAAGAAACAGGCTCAGGGAAGCTGAGTCTCTTCGTGAGTCCGTCTGATCCTGAAACCTGAATGCATCATTACCAGCTTTCAGATATTAATGGAGCACAAAACGGAGAACAGCTGAGAGGGAGGACGCAACTGAGCCGAGGGCATGCCATACTGAGGGGGTGCCGGAGTGAAGATGCCAGAGACTTTTAGCATAGTGGGAGAATGGAGCTGCCACTGATGATATGGATTCGGAAGTGAGAGATTGTGAGGGATAAGAGGAAGCCAGAGTATAACAGGGTGGTCCCCAAGAAAAGTGGAGGTTTCAGGTTCCCCGCCCCACGGAAGAAAGGTGGAGCTGAGCAAGGAGAAGCTGCAGAGGAGACTGGGGAAGGAACTAAAAAAGATGGGGAGCCAGAAGACCTGGAGGCACATGGAGCAGAGACCTATAAAGAACGTGCACTTGCCTCTTGGTCTTGGACGGGGTGAGAGAGACATGGGGGAGACCCGTGGGGAGGTGACAATGGCAGCTTTTATCTTGATTTTGCTCTTTCTGCTCCACTTGTGCTGAGCCCTTCCCAGGGATCTCCACTAGGAAGTGCCTTAGACTTGTGGCAGGCTGTTGGGGTTCAGTGGCCCTGCTTTGGGCCAACCCTGTTTGGCTGGGCATTTACCACAAGGGATGGGTCACTTGGGGTGCCTGATTTGGAAACTTTAGTCTTTCCCTTTTCTGTATTGCACACTAATTGTATTAAAGTTCCATTCCATTAAAGGTCTTACGTACTAGAGCGTGTTTTGTCTTGATAAGGCAGATGGCAGAACCTATTCAGAGTGGGCAGGTCTGGGGGTCCTGGGGTGCCCCTTACCCCGCCCTATAACAAGTGGACTCTGGGACAGTCCCCCAATCCTAACAACAGGAGAGCACACAGGATGAGTGAGGGCAGGGACAGGCAGCCTGGTGGCCTTCCAGCTTCTCAGAGCAGGCTCCCCATATCCAGGCTGTGCAACAACACTGAGCTTTCACTCAACTCTTCTTGCTTCCACGAGCACTGAAGGTGGATTTCTGGTGGTGGAAATCTTGTTTTCCCCTCTTAAATAAACACCCCTCCTTTATACTGAGAGGACAAAAACAAGCTTTGGAATTTTGATAATTTGACCACACAGGCTCACTTCTGAGTGCTCCTGAGTGAGCAGCCACAGTGAGGGACTAGCCACTTGCTCTCAGGGAGGGGTGTTGTTGGGCAAATTATCCCTGTCTCTACCCCAGTGTAAAGTGTAAGATACCAACCATGCCACGGGAATCCTGATGGCTGTGCTATAGAATAGACATCAGCAGCCTCACTGGAGAAGCACCTGTCCAGATTTCCTTACCAAAATGCAGAAGAGGGCTGGGTAGTCACACTCTGCCTCCGAGAACCCCCACGGCCTTAAAACCACTTCACCTTGCACACTGTCAACACTAGGGCTTCTGGGACAAACCAGAGGTCTAGACAGTCACAAACCACTGACCCCCCTGGTGTGGCCTTCATCAGCTAGGAGTGCCAGTTGCTAGACATTGAGGCCCTGAAACAGTCTCTGCGGGCCAGGTCTTTACTAAGAGCATGGCCCACGGGGATGAGATTGCGGCATCTTCTCCATGCACCTGCTTGGGACCAGTTCCCAGGTCACCGGTCAGGCAAGGGCAAGCCAAGGATTTCACACAGCCCAAGCAGGTGGCCACAGAGACGACAAGAAGTCAACCCCAAGTTTCCCTTCCCTTTGTGTCCTCTTCTTCTGCGTCCCCCCTACTTTCCTGACCTCTTTGCTCACTCACCTTAGTGAGCTTCTGCGCTGCAAGGTTTAAGGACTCTTTGCCCACACTTAAAAAGATGACAGGACACAGAAAATGATCCTTTTCTAAATCAATACAATTTCTCAAATTTATTTTTTTTCTTAAAGAAGTATTTCTAATCTCTGTCAAAAGGGAGGTGAGGAAAGGTCCCCCCTCCCTTGTAAACACTGAAATACAGATCTCAGAAACCAGGGTTGACACACACAAAAAGTGCATTTTACAAAATATCAACTAAAATATATTTTACATGAATTATGTTTCCATTGAAATTCTACCGGCTGCATTTTCAGATTCGAAAAAATATTTCCACATCTAAGAGATTTCAAAAGCGTTTAAGTTCTGGGCAGCCTACCCTGCCTCCTGGACAGTGGGGCCTTGATCTCTCCTGCTGGGTGAGGCTGGGCTCCTTGGCAGCAAGGGTCTGGCACCTGGGGATGAGCAGGCACCAAGGCTGGCCATCGAGAGCCCCCACTGCCACTCTGCCACCTCTCTCGCTGCCCCGCCCTCCTGAAGGATGCTTCCTCCCCACAGATTATCAATACAAGAGGGCCCGAAGTCCCTTCCCTTGGGTTTGAGATTGGGCTTCCCACCTATGAATTCACCTCTGAAACGTCCAGGTTTCCTCCAAGCACAAAGACCAATCAGGAGCAGCCACCTTCTCAGGGACAGGGCTAGTGGGGGTTGCTCGTAGTACCCTCAGGATTCACTTCCCCCTCCCTCTCTAGCCCCTGCAGGTCCTCACCCAGCGCTACTTCCTCAGCCTGCTGGGTTTGTCTGCCCCCTCCCTAGGGGAGGAGGACCCAGTGAAGCCCTCCTAGCTCCTGCCCTCAGGGGTTTGCCCTGTGCAAGTGCTCAGGAGCAGGTTCCCAGAGCCAGGCCCAAGCCGTACTGTGCTCCTCTCCCCCTCCCCACCATGTTCCTCTTTGGTACAAATAGGAAATAACTAGCTGCTCCAGCCCCTCACAGAGAGCCCCAGGGCCAGGGTGTAGTCCTGGCGAGGACAGGGGGTTGAGCCTCCTAATCTATTCTGGGGAGTAGCATGAGGTGAGAACAGGGACCCCTGGGCAACAAGAACAAACTGAAAATGCAGGTCCTTAGCTCCTAGAGTGAGTGGCTGCAGCTCAGCAGGTCTGTGGACGGATACAGTGTTGACAGTGTTGATTCTCGCTGGGATGTAAATTAGTGCAATCTACAAAAGACTAGGCTAAGGGGTGGCAGGGCCAGGGGAGCCACAGCACTCCTTTGGTTTGATTTCAGGTGGGTGTGGCTTGAAGAATCATGTGTGAAGTTCTGCAAGAGGTTTCCTAGAACCTCCAAGTATAAGGCAAGAGGAAAAGTTTTCAATAAATCAGGTAGCAATTTTCCTTGCCCCCTGCACCCCACCCCCTCCCGGCTCCCTTCTGCCCTCCCAGACATGACAAACCCCGTGCTGATCAGCTGACTTCTGGGAAGCCAGACCTGTTGGGTGGCCCTCACCAGGAGGTGGACAGGAAGTTGACTCCCACAAGTGGGCCACACCCATGACTGTGAGGGCCGGGTAACTTGTCCCAGCACCAGGGGGTACTACAGGGGCAAAGAGGAAAGCCAGGGGGAAGCCCCCGAGTCCAGGAAGAGTCAATGCTCTGGAAGCCAGATTCTGAATCTTTATGCCTCAAGGAATGAGCTCTGAGCTGTGCTAGAATCTGGGAGAGTCTGGTCCTGGGCTGATGGGGAAGCAGCGGGTCACAGTGGGTGAGGTAAAGCTGGCTCCCACTCCCCCTTGAAGGGCCCAGGGGAGGTTAAAGAAGGGCCCATTGGGTCTGGTTCCTGAAGGACCCCCACGTCCCCTCCAGGGTCCTACGCCCTCAGGCTTGGCCCAGACTCAGGGAAGACTGCTTCTCCAGGAGTCTCTGCCCAGGAGATCATAGAGTGGTCCCCTGGGCCAAGTTGAGGGCTCTGATGCTATTCTTATACCCTGGCCTCCCCTTCCCTCCCTTGGGGCCCACAGGAGTCCCCTGCCCATCCCCCCCCAGAGAACCA